CTGTTTGTCTGTTTATCTGTTTGTCTGTTGTCAACTTAAACCTTGGCCAAAACTTTTGAACCGTAAGAGATAGAGACTTCATATTTGGTATGCATACTCCTTAAATAAAGTTCTTTCAAATGACATCAAGGTCAATGACCTTGTGACCTTGACTGTGACCTACTGTAAACCAACTTTTATTCGCGTGCGAGAAATTTTCGCGAGGTTCGCGAGAGCCTCATCATCGCGAATATTTCTCGCCGTGAAAGGGTCCTTAAAGTCTCTTTTTCTATTAAAAACAGTTCCATAAAAGCTTGATCGCGAAAATAAAGCGACGCGAACTAGTTTACTCTCGGTAAATCGCGAAATAAAGTCGTCGCGAATAAAAGTTGGTGTACAGTATATGCTAAAAATAGGTTTTTCAACTGTTTGTCATAACTTTTGAACCATAAGAAATAGAGACTTCATAATTAGTATGCATACTCCTCTAATAAAGTTCTTTCAAATGACATCAGGGTCAATGACCTCGTGACCTTGACTGTGACCTATTATATGCTAAAAATAGGTTTTTCAACTGTTTGTTATAACTTTTGAACCATAGGAGATAGGGACTTCATATTTCGTATCCATACTCCACTAAAAAGGTTCTTTCAAACAACACCAAGGTCAATGACCATGTGACCTTGACTGTGTCCTTTATACTAAAAATAGCTTTTTCCACTTTTTGCCATAACCTTTGAACCTTAGGAGATAGGGACTTCATATTTGGTATGCATACTGCACTAATAAAGTTCTTTCAAACAACACCAAGGTCAATGACCATGTGACCTTAACTGTGACCTATATGATAAAAATAGCTTTTTCCACTTTTTGCCATAACTTTTGAACCATAGGAGATAGGGACTTCATATTTAGTATGCATACCCCACTAATTAAGTTCTTACAAACAACATCAAGCGCAATGACCTTGTGACCTTGACTGTGACCTATATGCTAAAAATAGCTTTTTCGAACTTTGTTGACGCCGGGCGCATAGTGTTTCACAAACACATCTTGTTACCCCTTGACGTTGATGTTTTACATAATTTTCAAAATATTTAACTCTCCTAAAAGATGTTTAGACTTCTGAGTAACATTTAAGGAAGACTTCAAGGAAGAAAGGGCTTTTTGCACAAAAAACGTCGTTTTTCGACCCACATTTGACTTCCCGGGGCAAAATCTAAATTCCAAAACCTTACTGCACATCTACATGACCCCACCAACCATCTTTTTAAAGATGATTAGGCTACTGAGTAAAATGTAAGAGAAGTTCAGGGAAAACAGGGCTTTTTGTATAAAAAACGTTATTTTTCGACCCCCCTTTGACCCCCTGGCGCAAAATCAAAATTCCAAAACCTTACTGCACATCTACATGACACCACTTATCATCCCCCAAAAGATGATTAGGCTGCTAAGTAAAATGTAGGAGGAGTTCAGAGAAGACAGGTCTTTTAGCATAAAAAACATCAATTTTCGACCCCCATTTGACCCCCGGGACAAAATCAAAATTCCGAAACCTTACTGCACATCTACATGACCCCACCAACCATCTTCTTAAAGATGATTAGGCTGCTGAGTAAAATGTAAGAGAAGTTCAGGGAAAACAGGGCTTTTTGTATAAAAAACGTTATTTTTCGACCCCCATTTGATCCCCTGGGGCAAAATCAAAATTCCGAAACCTTACTGCACATCTACATGACACCACCAACCATCCCCCAAAAGGTGATTTGGCTGCTGAGTAAAATGTAGAAGGAGTTCAGGGAAGACGGGACTTTTTGCACAAAAAACGTCATTTTTCGACCCCCATTTGACCCCCCGGGGCAAAAACAAAATTCCGAAACCTTACTGCACATCTACATGACACCACTAATCATCCCACAAAAGATGATTAGGCTGCTAAGTAAAATGTAAGAGGAGTTCAGGGAAAAAGGGGCTTTTTGCATAAAAAGTGCCATTTTTCGACCCCCATTTGATCCCCAGGGGCAAAATCAAAATTCCCAAACCTTACTGCACATGTTCATGACACCACCAATCATCCCCCAAAAGGTGATTTGGCTGCTGAGTAAAATGTAGAAGGAGTTCAGGGAAGACGGGACTTTTTGCACAAAAAACGTCATTTTTCGACCCCCATTTGACCCCCTGGGGCTAAATCAAAATTCCAAAACCTTACTGCACATCTACATGACACCACTAATCATCCCACAAAAGATGATTAGGCTGCTAAGTAAAATGTAAGAGGAGTTCAGGGAAGATGGGGCTTTTTGCATAAAAAACGTCATTTTTCGACCCCCATTTGATCCCCCGGGGCAAAATCAAAATTCCGAAACCTTACTGCACATCTACATGACACCACCAATCATCCCCCAAAAGGTGATTTGGCTGCTGAGTAAAATGTAGAAGGAGTTCAGGGAAGAAGGGACTTTTTGCACAAAAAACGTCATTTTTCGACCCCCATTTGACCCCCCGGGGCAAAATAAAAATTCCGAAACCTTACTGCACATCTACATGACACCACCAACCATCTCTTAAAAGATGATTAAGCTACTGTGTAAAATGTAGGAGGAGTTCAGGGAAGAAAAGTGTGACAGACGGACGGACGGACGGACATGAGTAACAACAATATACCCGAACTTTCTTTAGAAAGTGCGGGTATAATAAGTCATGATGCATTGTTTAATATATAAATAGAAAAGTTTATGCTAATTAAACGCTGGATAATTCATTGATATACATGTATCTTAGGCGATCTTGATTTTATGACAGTAGTCCACGAACTTTCCGAACAGCGCTTGAATCCGAAGCATCTTATATATAAAAGTCAAAGAAAAATAAGCTTGTGCTCTATTTTTTGAGAAGTGAAAACCATCTAAAATTTTGCGAATTTCCAAAAAAAAAAAAAAAAAAAAAAGAAAGAGTTTGGAAATACTTACACTTCCGCGACATCTTGCCTCTGTTTAAGCTTTTAATCAAAATCAAAGAAACCGAAGCTAAAATACTGTAAATCATTTTTATTCGCGTGCGAGAAATTTTCGTGAGGTTCGCGAGAGCCTCGTCATCGCAAATATTTCTCACCGCGAACGCGTTCTTAAAGTCTCTTCACTAAAGTTTTTCCACTAAAACTGTTCCAAAAAGGCTTGATCGCGAAAATAAATCCCCGCGAACTAGTTTACTCTCGGTAAATCGCGAAATTAAGTCGTCGCGAATAAAAGTTGGTTTACAGTATATTACATATATATTGACTACCACTATTGTTTTACCTCTGATTTCCTATCCATTATTCAACTGCACATAGAATTTGAAGAGGCTCATTACAACCACAATTTCTTATAGACTTCATTACAACATCACTTATTATGTTGATGTCCAATGCTCAAATTGGGGCAATGATATCAAACATAGGTTTTGTGATTCTTTTTTTTAAGTAACCCTTTTCTTAAATTTATTGAACGAACAAAAATCGCGGTTTTTAAAGTTTTATACTGTAACTGCTTTTAAAATAGCACATGTATATTTCGCGTATTTGCTAACCTAGTGATACTCGTATTATAAAAACTATTTCAGAACGTTTCATTTTTATTTTCATAATTTTTTTAAAGAACATTACACACGACATTGTTTAGTGAAGGCTTAAAGATCCATTCCTAGGAGACCTGTTTTTCGCAGTTTCAAAACCTAGACTAACTGGTAAAAATATGTGGTAAATCAATTGAATCAATAGTTAGCTTTAAGTGAGGATTTCGTAAGTTTTGTGTTTGATACAATGACCCAGTCATATAAGATATAGTCCATGATTAAGACCAAAGTAAACTCACATTTTATATACAATTCGTCATTATGATTGTATAACACTGAATTGTCAATTTTTTTTTTTTTTTTGGATTTGCTCGATCATAACATGGGACACACGGTAGGAATGACCGTTGGATGAGAATGTTTAATCCTACATATCTTTGTTATATACTAGGTCATGGATTGACGTCATGCTTTCATGCACCCAATATGTGGGGGTGGGGGAGGGGGAGGGGCTTATCAAAAAGGTAAATCTCAACTTTCACTGTCTATATAATGGCTAAGCAACCCTCCCGGGCTCGAGGCATTACGTATTACGATTCTATATTTTAAACATCTACCGTTAGTACTTTTCATTTTAAAAAAAGTTTTTAACGGGCTTAAAAGAAGTCTTATAAAATTCTATTATAATTGTATTTTACAAATGTATGTCTCTCTAAGACTCAAAAGTAAATAAACCAATGATGATGTACATGTATTGTGTTACATTAACATTTATTGGCTAATGTATCAAAGTTGAAAAATCAATATATATTCAATATATTCTTAATTAGAATGTTTTAGAATCAGATTATTTTACTTTGAATTTTATTTCAATATTGCTGATTTCTAATTTCATTCAGTTTGAGTGGATGAAGGAGAAGAGATATCAAATTTCCATATTTTAAAGATAGCTAATAAAAAAGAAAAAAACACTGTACAACATCATAACATAACAGGCATTAACTAAATTAAAAACAGCACAACTTTCATTGTTATATCTAAATTGCAATTTCAAAATAAGCGTTTATGACAATTCATGAAAATTCATATGAACTTCGATAAAATCGATACTTAAAACAGTGAAATATAGAATACGTACAGTTAGCCAATCACATTTCAGACTGTGATTATGGTACGATATATTATATATTCTGCTGTTGAAAGACCATTTAGTAGAATTTTACAGATTCACGAGAACGCGGCAGTTTTTTGCGCAACAAAAAATGAGCAATCAGTGTGTTATCACTTTAATTGTAGGCTTCTTAGCTTTATCTTAAGCTACCATTATTTCTCAGAAATATATAGCGAAACTCGAACTTAATGATAAGAAGTCAAACTATGAACTTTTAGGGGAGCATTATGCTCATTCGTTAACTTAGTGCGCCGCGGTGTGTCAAAGGGAGTGCGTTTTCTTTGGATTCAACAGTCAAATGAAGAAATGTCGAACCCACAAGAAAAGTCTTACATCCGGACTGTCTGATGAGGCCGGTTGGAGATACTACTCGGATGACGGTATGTATATTTTGTTATTTTTTGTGTTTGCTTCTTTGTGTTTTTAGGTCCTTCTTGCGAGGACACAATTCTTTTTCTCTTACATTTTTTTTCGCCTTACAATCTGTTGAAGTTTGATACGATAGAAGGTGTTGGAAAACATGGTCATTGTATCCACCTAAGAATCTATGAATAGTTCAATTTCACATACATTGCATCATGCATAAAATATATCATGATTTTACTACATTTTTCAACATATGTTTCAGTGTCTAAATTGTGTGTCATCTTATCTACAAATGTATTCCTCTTTTACATTTCTTTCAATCAACAGAGTATTGAACATACTTATATTTAATTTTAAAATACTTTTAATCACGTCCTTAAGCAAAGATATGTATCAAATAGAAAACAAGAATGATTGTAGATAATGAGGAACAGTTTAACATAATACGCATTATACATTTAGTTAACATTTTAGCTTCAACAATTAACAATTATATATCATACAGGCATTATATATCTTCCTACTTCTTGTACATATACATTGTATGAATCTGGTAATGTTTTTTTAGACTTTCCTAGCATGCCCCAAGATTGCAAGGATCTTCTAGAAAACGGACAAACCATCACAGGGGTGTATGATATATACCCCTACGAAACACTAACAATACCGGTCAGTGTGTATTGCGATATGACTACAATGGGTGGGGGGTGGACGGTAGGTCGTTTATTTTAGAATTAAAAGTACTTAATATAACTCACATTATTTTGGTTATTTTAAGGGTTGTTGGATTGTATTCTAGTTTATATCAAAACATATGGATCCTATGAATGTTCGAAGAAATAAATTGAATTGTATTACATGTTAATTGTCAAAGGCAATTCAGAAACGCATAGACGGATCCGTGATCTTTGACAGGAACTGGACGGATTATAAGAATGGTTTTGGTTCATCAGAACAGAATGTCTGGATTGGTAAGTGTAAATTGATTTCAAATAAGAACGTTTTATTCCTTCAAAGTTTGGAGATAAAAAAGATTCTTAAGGCAAGTAAAAAACTATAATGCGTAATAAAGATCTAATTTTAAGACTAAGTAATGTGTGTTCTATGATATTCACATATCGTGCTTAATTGATATCTCAAATGATAAAAAAAAAAATAGAGAAGAAGAATATCATTTAGCGGCATATTTTAATGAGACCAAATTTAGCGATATTGTCTACAGCTATGGAAAATAATTTGATTTTTCATTACGGTAGATTCATATAGATTTTTAAAATAATAATTGTATTCGATGAACTTTTCAGATAATTTCAAATATATCTTTATACAGGAAATGACGTAATCCACCAATTGACAAAAGAAAACACCTCATCCCTGTATGTGTCCATTACTCTACCGAATGGTACAACTCTGTATGAAATGTACGACCGATTCTCTATCTCCAACGAAGCTGGAAAATATCAACTCTTTCTTACAGGACCTGCCACGGGAACTTTAGGTAAGTGTATTCACGTTAAGTTCTTTAAATTAGGTTCAGATTACGTATATCATTATAATAATACTTTTCTGTATTGACAGGTTATAAAGTTGTTGAAAAAAAATAAAAAGATGTGTTTTATCTGATATTCTGTATACGTTTTTGATTCCACGCTAATTAAACATGTTTAATATTTAAGCATTTCACTTGCAGGTACCATTGACGTGTTCAGCAGAAAATGAATTTGTTATTGTTAAGCAGATAAAATTTTATGTAAAAGGAAACTTATGTAATTTTTTTAAACAAATAAATCAATAATCACATTTGTTCAACATTGTTATTCAGCTTGGGTTTCCTGATTTTTGATAATTCACATTTTAACTGATACGGAAAAAATTTACACACCATGTTAGTTTGATTTTCAATGAATTACATTTTTTACTCTACGGAATTGGAAGTTAACAGTGCGTTATTAATCTAAAATGTCGAAAGGTTTACGAAAATTTGATGATAAAAATTTTTTGATCGGATAAATATTGAAATTAAAATACTTAAAATCCAAATTTTTAAGACCTATACTCGTTTCACATTTCCATTTATTTAATAGGAAATATACCATCCTAAAACATTCACAGATACACCATATCGTATCTCGTTATTAATGATTTAATAAGTATTGCATGTTATACATGTTTAAATGCACAGTCTGGACAAATTTTAAAATTTCATTTTGTGATGTTTTCTAAAATTTCCAGTGACCTTTACCCACCCCCCACCCCCAATAATACCATGCTTAAAAAATGTAACAGGTCTGTTGTTTATTGTTACACTAGAAAGGATGCTATGTGAATTGTGTAATGTTTTGTTCTCTTGTATTATTTTTATCTCTTTTTTCCAGGAAACAACACGTTAAACTGCGTATATCAGACGTACTTCAGTATTAAAATCAATGTGATGTAAATTAGTAATTATTATCTCTGTTTTATATCGTTTTTCTAAATCTGCAGGTGCCAGTATTTAGACATCGGGGATTCTAAAACTGAACAAAATAAATGTTATCGCTCTTTTCAGCACGTAAAGTCGTCTTTCTTAGATGTATCTCAGTATTATTATTGAGAATTAAATTGAAGATATATAAATCAATTATCTCTGTGATTTCTCTTTTTTGATTTTACAGGAGACTCTATGTTAGACACAGGTTCTTCTATCAATGATCTGTCTGGGATGTACTTCAGTACCCCAGACAGAGACAATGACGGGTGGGGTGATAAAAACTGTGTTGTTTACAGGACCACTAGTGGAGGCTGGTGGTTCCGCTCCTGTCACTCCGCCTTCCTTAACGGTCCCTGGTCCCCGCAGTCCTGGTCCTACCCGTGGTATCCCACAGTACAGAGTGGGACATCAGTGAAGGGGACCACCATGATGATCAGACGTCACTAGGTAAATATCATTTAATCTTAATTACCAGGGTTTTTTGTTTTTGTATTATTGTGAAAATTTCAGTTATAAAAGTTTTGTTTTTTTAAATACAAAAGTATGCTATTATACATGTATCTGTGAAGATTTAATTTGTTTAATTTTTTTTTAACAGATGAAAAATCATCCATGGATTATGGAAACCCTCAAGTGACGATTATAAAATAATTTTTATCGCTGAATTCTTTTTTTAAATATTTAACATCAAGTAACAAACAGTAAAACAAGGGGGGTTGAACTGCTCTGTAAAGCGATACTGAATGTATTCAGTAAAAGATGTACTTGATTTGTGTTGTAATAAATTTGAAAATAGAAATATTTCGTTCTTTTTTCCAAACACTGATAAATGGAGATAATGGGACGGAGAATTAGGATGAAGATGACTTTATTGTTTAACCTATTACAGTGGAACCTGTTTAATCCGACACATGCAATACTCTTTACTGTGATTTCAGCAATTTAATTTCATTTGCGATTTATAATTATCTCAATGATCTTTACACGCTGAAATACTACACCTTGTTTATTCCAACACATATATTTTTAATGTGTTCCCGATGCATGTCTGATAAGACAAAAATCATTGTAATAAAGATGTTAAAATGTTTTAAAAAAACCCATAGGTATATTTGATGGTCATGTTTTCTGAGATTATACTTCTCTAAAACATATCCCCATCTTTTTCTATCCATGCAGTATTTTAATAGATGAGAATTTAATTATTCTTTAATCTACATGAAACTGCTTAAATTGAAATTATTGTTATTTTTAATATCATGGAGAAAATACACGAAAAAGTTGAAGTGAGGCATACTGAATATTTCTTCCACAAATCTAATTATACCACATATATATTTATTTTAATGCAATAAGCATTTTGATACCCCACTTACCCATCAACTGGCTAATTTCTTTCCAACATCCTTTCAACGCTAGAACACCTTATCGTATTCTCCTTCAATGAGTAAAAAGTTTGTAAAACAGTTTGTCGTGTGTTGCCACCTTTGTGATGATTAATAATAGGTTTGAAATTCTCAAAAGTATTATAAACAATGACATATAAGTTTTAGCAGACACAAGATATCAAGATGAGAAATAAACCAATTTTGTAAATGGAGATAATCCAAATTTACAGTAATTACCACTTAGATTTAACAGAGAAATCATGAAAATTGGTCTGAAAACAAACAAAATTGGCGGAGGAGGGGCGGAAGGAGTTAAATAAGAAAATTTAAAAAAAAACGTCCGTCCTCCAAGGATGTATATGGGAGAAGAGTCAGAGTAACCCACCGCGTGGTCAGAATTTCACTTGTTAGATTTTTATTGGTCAGATTTTGATTGGTCAATCTCTGCCTCTCCTACCTCGGTAAGCCATGAAGCTAAATTACGATTACAAAGCACAGCTATATAATATTTTAGACTTTCACATTCAAGACGGACACTTATGGATTACAATAAAAAAAAATAAGCAAACTTATTTTTTTTTTTATTGCAATAAGTATTTTGATACGCCGGTTACCCATCAACTGGCTAATTTCTTTCCCCAATCATTTCAACGCTAGAACACCTTATTGTATCCTCCTTCAATGAGTAGAACGTTTGTAAAACAGTTTGTCGTGTGTTGCCACCTTTGTGACGATTAATAATGTGTTTGCAATTCTCAAAAGTAATATTAACAATGACATATATATAATTTTTAGTAGACACAAGATATCAAGATGAAAAATAAACCAGTTTTGTAAATGGAGATAATCCAAATTTACAGTAATTACCTTTTATATTTAACATAAAAATAATGAAAATTGGCCTGAAAACGCCACTGACTTGACCAAACTAGGGAAAGTTCAGACCCAAAAAGGAAAAATAAAGGGCAAAACACCTCAAACATAAATCATACCAAAAGTGAGTAAAATGTACATTACTGTTCTGTACATTTCAAAAATGGGAATAAACATATGTCCCGTGATGTAACAAAACAACTTTCTCATGAAATATATCTGAAAAGATACTGTTTCTATTAGTCTTTTACAATTCAATAATGATAAAATATTTGAATTCACAAGTGTCTTATGGGGGATTAACAAATGCCCCCATCACAACCAAATGAGGTTACTATTCCAAGTGTATGCTGCCTGCGGGTCCTAAGTATTAACGAATGACTCCGTAGAATGTTCGATAAGGGATAAACATATGCCCTTATATTCGCAGAGCATCACCTTTTTTTTTAAAAAGTTCACATGTGTGTGGTCTTCACGTAAGGACTACCTCAAGCAATGTTGTAGATGAGGGATAGACATATGCCCCCAGATTGAAAAAATATCTCACACTGTAAGCTTCTACTGTTTTAAAAGTTTATATGCACACAATCTTGTCACCTACCAGCCTAAGTATTAACAAATGACTTATAGGCACTATTGTTCTGGATGAGGGATAGACATATGTCCCCATAAGTTAATATTCCTGAAAATCACTTCAAAGTCAAGATCCTAAACAAATAACGAAACAAAACTGCTCCAAGGATCCACTTCCCTTCAAGCATATATCAACATGGTGTCACGTGTCTTATTTAATATTTAAATGCATCAGATTTCCATCTACCCAGGAATCTAATCGGACTATCGCTCATCCCTTGTAATGCACAGTAAGAGGCCATTCCAATTCGAAGGGAATGTCCTTTGAATCTATTGACATCCAAATTACAAAACTTGGGGCTTTGCTTTAATATGTTTGAAAATTCTTGCCTTGTGACTGCAGTATTTCGGGGGTAGCAAAAAAGGGGCCCATCGGTCCTCCCTCTCATCTTAATGTAATGTTCTAATGCCTTCATTGGACAATATTTTAAAAAGTTGAATTACGTTGAAAGATTTAATTGTAAGAGTAAAAACTTTAGTATCAAAATGTTTATAATTTTGAAAGTGAATCAAGACTTTACTTTTCTGAAAAGTAATATGTGAAACTTGTAAAACCTTATTAGCAGTGCAAACTGATGTTATATCTCCTATTCCGAGGAAGCCGTGAAAAGCCAATAAAATCAATGTTTGAAATAATGCCCTTTTATATATGTTCGATACTGTATGTTCTAACGCATCACAAATTTTATGCAGAACTACTATGGCTATTGGTAAACGAATATCCATTGAAGGTCTTGATTTGCGACGGGAACTTAACAGTTTCTGAATGAGAAAGCATGATGTATTGTCAGGCAAATTGTTAATTTTTATGCATATATGCTATTGCTGAAATAAATGACACGATAGAGGAAGCTGCATAACCTTCAGCAAGTAAATAAGAAATAAACAAAGCCAAAGCAACGGAAGATCATTACTCAAAACAAATTTGTTTGCAAAAATCTCTATAAATAGACCATGCCCGTTTATATGCTGGAGTGGAAGCTGGTGCCAATGTTGAAGTCAACAGGTTCCTCAAAACTGCTTCTAAGGAGGTTATGTTGGCAGATTGGGAATCACCGTTTGTTCTTTGTCCACCCAAAGAGCAAGTTGATGCAACTGCTGCACCTTCAAACGAGATAAGCAACCACATAGAATATTTTCCTTAGTACTAAGATGCCTAGCTTTGAACAAAATGTAAGACTGCAAACAAATTAGCACTAACTCTCTGTCACAATTTGTGATAAATGGCATGGAAATAAACCCTCGCTGCAACCAAGCTTTGAAAAAGAACAAAGAGTATGTGCAAACAAAAGTTTATTATAGTGCTCAAAACAATATATACACACTCCGAACACGCACACACACAACACTCACACAAATACCCAAAAAAACCTAAACAAAAAAAAATATAATAAACAAAAAACAAAAAAAAATAATAATAGTGTCTATATACCGACTAAAATCTTGTCAAACCCGACCAGACGAATATTTCCTCGACACGTGCACAAATCCGTAGATATCTTGCTACAAATGTGACCCCAAGACGTTACCGTATTGTTCGTTCTTTAAACACACAGTCGTTGGTTTAATTTCCAGTTATCGTTGTGACAAAGTCCACATAAACCCGTCAACGTCTTAGTACGTAGGATTTCCTCCAACGCTGTAGTAACGACACCCTATAACGTCACACTTACGTTACTTGTATTCACAGCTGGTCGAGCTGGTCACCTATAATAACACAGTATTTCAAAGTCTGGGTTTCCATAGTCGGTAATAACGCATTAATAAGGAATAAATGGATATGTCGGGTATATTATCTATCACAAATAAAACTGAACAAAGTAATAACTTTATGAAAAGAAAACCAAACAAACAAAATAACCTAGCTAAGAAAATAAACATTTCAAACTCACCGATGCCAATGTACTAAAAATACTACGCTTTCCACACAGGAAAACTTCTCAAACACACCAAACATTCAGGCCAAATGCACACAGCTTTTTTATCTGGAGACCACACAGGTTATACATTTTCACTACGGAAGGACACACCTTCTCCCTTCTACGGCCTGCTCTGAACTCACACGTCGACAATTTTACAAACTGGTCTGACAGCCGTGACCAACTATCCGTAACGAGTATACGGTGAGAATTGAAATTATGGTACGCCATCACCGACATGAGCAAATTTAATAAAAATTGTGACAATACCTCCCGTTTTCAGCTTCAAAATTGGAAACATGTTTTGAAAGTAAATTCAAATCAACAATATTTACAAAACATGACGACTCAAAAAGTCTGCGCCTACGTTATCAACACCTTTGATAGCATGAACTACAAAATTGTAGGATTGCAAAAAGATTGCCCAACGCATCAACCTACCATTTGACACTTTTGATCTGTTCAGATAGACCAATGGTTGATGGTCTGTCTGCAGAACAAATGTCCTACCATACAAGTATGCCTGAAATTTTCTCATAGCCCATACAATAGCTAAACACTCTTTCTCAATCACAGAATAATTCCTCTCTCTTTCATTCAACTTTCTACTGGCATATGCGACAGGGAACATTTT